GCATTGATTCCACTCAATACTCTTTGCCAACACCATCATTCAAAGGCATTGATTCCACTCAATACTCTTTGCCAACACCATCATTCAAAGGCATTCATTGTTCTGCACTCTACCTTATTTATTGTCCCGATCTGAGGTCCTGGTTACCTTTGATGTCACCGTTCAGCTCACCAAATCCTTTGCAACACAAAGCTCAGTCCAGGCTGCAGCCTCACCTCAGGGGTGAGTGCCCTGTCTTTAGGGAAGGCTTGGGCCACCTCACTTGGCTCCTGATCCTTCCCTCGTCTTTCTCTGCCCAAGCACTTACCCAATTCTGGCCCAAGGGAAGAACAGGACTGACTGAGTCTAACTCGGGACCGTTTCATGGGGTGCTCTGTGGTTCAGCGTGTGCTTCTTGGAACAGGCTGCCTGTTGTTCATGTCCCAACTTTGCCCACTTGCAGGCTGTGTGACGTGGGGGACATTAAATCGTGGCCCTGTACATAACTCTCCTATAAAATTTAAGGAAGACATTTTGTGGTGATGAATTGATGATTTCATGGTAGAATTCTCCCTTTCCACAAAGGAGACCCGGGTTCAATTCCTCCCAATGTCCCTCCTGCACAGGCACCAGCCACCTCTCAGTGGGGCCCATGTGCTGCCAGGGTGCTCAACAGGATTCACTGGCACTCCCAGATGAGCAAGAAAGACCTGGCAATTCACTTCCTCAAACTAGTCCATTAAAAACGCTCTGGATCACCATGGTCTTGTGGCCCACTGATCGTACAGCCGGCACAGGCATGGCCCGACCCATTTTGTCCAGGTGTGGGTGAGGTCACCATGAACCAGGGCTGACTCTGTGGCACCTGACCATCACCACCACGGTTGTTGTCAACACCTGTCCGTTTGTCCTAGTGTGGTCTCTTTCTTGTTGCTGTGACGCCGGAAACCACGCAGCTGGTATTTGAAACACCAGCAGGGTCACCCGTGGTGGACAGCTCCCAGTGGAGGGTCCAGACTAAAAGGACTCGGAAGAAAGGCCTGGTGGCTTCCTTCCAAAAAAGTAGCCAATAAAATCCCTGTGGGTGGTGGATTACCCACTGGGCAGAACAAGTGTCAACTTCTGTCAATTCCCGAAGCGTTGTTTTTCCCAGAGGCTTACTGTTGCAGGTGGTATCGCCAGGCCACCTTCTGGCAGGCTCAATCCAGGGACTCAGAAAATCCCTGGAAATTGGCAGGAGGCATCAAAGCTGGGCGTGGCTGGTGGAAGAGGTGTGGCCGTGGGCGGACTTCCTAGAGGTGAAGTCAAGCCAAACCCAAGTTCCCTCAGTGCCTTCGTGGATTCCATTCCTGGAGGACAGACTTCCCGCTGGGGGTTGGGTCCGGTGGCCAGCAGAGCTGCGATGTGGGAACTGCTCAGCGTGCTGGGCGCCCTCACGGCCGCGGGACTTCTGCTGGGGGCAGCGTGGGGGGTCGCCCGCGCGGTGTACATCTACCTGCTGCCCTGGGCTGGTCCAGGCGATGCTTGGATCCGGGCGCAGGGAGCCTGGGCAGGTAAGGGTGTGTCGCAGCGCAGGTAGAGATGGGAATGCTGGATCGAGGACAGTTGGGAGGGGGGCAGAGGCGGGCTGGGATGGGGTGGGGGTGGGGAGGCTCCAGGAAGCCAGAGGAATGAAGGACGGTGAAGCAGGAGAGGGGGCACTAGTCTTGCTCCCTCCCGCCCCCCGCCCCTGCCCCAACCTAATCTTCTACAGGTGAGTGACGTAGGTGTGCTGCTGCGGATCCAGCCTTGGGCTGCCAGTCAAAAGCTGTGGCCATGTTTCTGCAAAGATTGACCATGACCCATCCCCACTCAACTGGCGTGCCCACTCATGGCGAACTTATAAAGAGGGGCTAGACCTTCCCCGGGTGGGTTTCTGGGACTGCAACTGTCTATGGGAGTAGAAAGCCCAGTCTTTCTCCCTCGGGGAGGCTGGTGGTTTCTGAGTAGCGGCAGTGCTAGTCTCTGCCCAAAGCATAACCAGTATGCCACTGAGGCTCCTGGATGCCGGCTCACAGAATTTGTATAGGAGAGTAGACATGCTCCCCTAGGACTTCTGAGATGGCAAACCTTGATGGGAGCAGAGAGCCTCCTTCTCCTGCTGGACCGCTGGTGGGTTGGAACTGCTGACCTTGTGGTGTAGAACCCACTTGGGTACCAGGGCTACTCTGAAAAGTTTACCAACCCCCCACTCACACCTACTGCTCGTGAGAAGAGACCCCATGAAGGGTCTCAGAAGCTCCTGTACATCTTTGTGGGAGCAGACTCATGCTTCTCCCGCGGAGTGACTGGTGGGTTTGAACTGCAGACCTTGAGGTGAGCAGCCCAATGATTCACCCAGGGTGCCACCAGGCCTCCATGGCAGAGGGCTTGATTTTCCGGTTGAGGAGCCTCTGTCGGAGAACGGGGCAGAGGAGGGAGGAGGGGGACAGCAATAGGTGTGGGGTGGGCATGGGGAGACAGCTGTGGGGACACCTCTGGGAGACCTGAACCTGAGCCCAGGCAGAGCAAGCGCTGCTGCTGGAATTAGCCAATACTGGTGTCACTCACACCCCTTGGTTCCTTCTCTCCTCAGTGGTGACTGGAGCCACAGATGGCATAGGCCAGGCTTATGCGCATGAGGTGAGATGGGCTTGGGGTGGGCCACAGGGGAGGGAGCTCCTGGGGTGTGCCAGCCAAGCCTCTGTAATGTCTGAGCCTTTATTGTGCACATTGTCTGTCTGGCTCAGACTTCTTCTCCTACTACAATCCTCTCGTACTCCCCCTAGACAGGGCCCCCTGTGGACACTACACTTTACAGCCCCTTCTCCCCAACCAGACATTCCAAATGCATTGATTGGCACCTGACCCTTGACTCCCACCGCCCCCTCCCTCCACCCCACCACCAGGATGGTTACTCCTTTGGCTGACCAATAGTGTGACCTACTGGTATTTCAAATAGCAGAGGCATAGTTTCCAGCAACACACAGGCCACCACAGTATGACAACTGACAGATGAGTAAGGTTCCCAACACTGCCCAGGAAGAGCAGGTGCATGGGAACCTCATTTTGAATGAATCAAGGTATGAAGGAAAGATAGAGCTAAGGGACATTTGAAGAAATGGACACCTTGAGAACTTAAACCCAAGTCTGTCTGGGGGCACTGGGCGCCTAGCCAGACCCCATGACCTTGCTGAGCTCACACTCAGTTGGCCACTTCACTCCGCAGGGAGCTCTCTGCGCTGCTGCTCCCTCTCCTGCAGTTCTGCTCTCCGGAATGCGGGCTCCCTGCCCACAGGCTGGTGATTTCCTCTTTTGCTCACTCCAGTCCCCGGGTCCCTGCCACATGGTAAGCACAACAACTCACAGACCTTATGACTGCATGCTTTACTCAACCAATCCCTCATCCCCTGCAGTTTGCCAAGAAAGGTCTGAACATCGTTCTCATCAGCCGAAACATGGACAAGTTGAAAAAGGAGGCTAAGGAGATTGGTGAGGCCCAAAGGGCCGGGGGCTGGGGCAGCAGTGGGGCTGGGCCAGAACAGGGCTGGAAAGGGGCTGGGGGTGGAGCCCTGTAGGGACAAGGGATGGGGACAGGGGCTGGGTAGGGTCAGGGCTGCAGCAAGGGCGGGACCGGACACCAGCCTAGGGTCTGGCTTACTCCCTCTCCCCCTTCCTAGAGCGGCTTCATGGTACGGACACGCGTGTCATCCAGGCTGACTTCACTGGGGGCTTGGAGATCTACGGGGCCATTGAGGAAGGGCTGAAGGGCCTGGAGATTGGAGTACTGGGTATGTCCTATGGTTTGGGCGAGGCGGGGGCAGTGGGGAAGCGAGCCCTCAACCACCCCCAAGCTCAGCCGGATCCTGGGTCCTCCCGCGGCCGCACTTCCTGGACTGCTGGAGTGACACAAACCATGTGTTTCCTCTGGTTCAGTGAACAACGTGGGCATGAATTACTCTCCGCTCTTCAGGAAACTGCTGGACTGTGAGAACCCAGCCCAGGTGAGTGATACCTGGCCCTGGTTCCCCAGAGGTCCCTGGTCCTCCGACTCGTCACTGCCTTCTGTTGGAAAGCGGGCACAATGCCCTGGCTTTGTTAGGACTGTGCTCTCTACCGCTGTCTGCAGAAACTCTATGGTGTGATGAGTTTGTGTGTTGAATTTCATTTAGGTGCAAGAACACACAGCAAGTTAGACTCCCAGTCACCAATTTCTACACACAGGAAGGGTGACATTGGTGACTTTCCTCACGTGGCATCTCTTACATCCTGTTCCTTCCGGGGGTTCCTCTCCCGCTGACTGCGTCTCACTGCCCCTCAGCTTTCTCCTCATGCTCTAGACTCACTGTGGTCCATTTGATCTCACAGATCACTGTTAAACAGAATGCTGTCCTTAAGAGTGACGATCCTCTTTTTGTGTTAACCTACCCTGTTTCCCCGAAAATAAGACAGTGTCTTATATTAATTTTTGCTCCCAAAGATGCGCTAGGTCTTATTTTCAGGGGATGTCTTATTTTTCCATGAAGAAGAATACGGTACACATTTATTGAACAACGAAAAAAGGAAATGTATTACCTGTATGCGGTACGGTAGTCGTCGTCATCACAAACCAGCATAACCAGACAAACTGTGAATCCTACAGCATCAAGAATTTCTTGTTGCTGCCATTATTTCCATGGACAATAATTGATGGTACATTTTCTCATTTATTCAATGACAGTCATGTTATCATCTTCTGAAACATCATCATAACAATCCAAACCCTTATTTTCGGGGAGGTCTTATTTTCGGGAGATGCCATATATTTTAGCGAGAGGCAAAACTGTAAGTAGGTCTTATTTTCGGGGGATGTCTGACTTCCAGAGAAACAGGGTAGTATTTCGTTAAAAGGTGACTTCTCTGGGAATAGTTTGGGCTCAAGATTTAAAGACTATCTGAGGGCAATAGTGTCCAATAAATCTAGATTTTATGAGAATTTTCCGTTCTGTTCCATGTTTCTGTTTCTCTCAGGACCGACCCATCTCTTTTGATCCTGATCAGAACAAATGGCACCATCTAGTTGTTCTGGGCTCAAGCAGAGGAGGCAGAGGTTCATGGAGACAGTTGGTCCTGTGATCCAGTTCCGTCTCTGATTCTCATGCTTCCTTCTTTCTCTTTGACCCCAGACGAGAGGATAGTAAGAGAATCCTAGATGGTTCCTTGTAAACTTTTAAGAACTTAGACACTTCTCACCAAATTAGGACGTAGAACATAGACTTCATGAGCTCCTTTAGGCCAATAGGCTGAAGTGCCACACAAGACCATTCTTAAAATCCCAGCTTCTTTTTCTCTTAATCAACCATGCGTGTTTGCCCACCCTACTCTATGGGTGTCACGTGACTGTTGTCCCTGTTGTACCTGCCCATCTCTTTTGACAAATATTACTTCTTTTTTTTTTT